TATATATATATATATTAAATGATGAGAAATATTATGACTAATAATATTAATGGTTATACACAGTTATTATTGTATATATAATAATTATCGCTTTGCAATTATTCTTTCATATAATTATTCTTTATAATAAAAATATATTAATCATTTAGATGAACATAATGAATGCATTTTTTCTTTTGTGAATGTACACTTTTTTCATCAAAAATTGCGTTTATACACTCGAAAATTATTTTTCTCTAACATTTGTTCGAAATTGTTTATTGTATATTGCAATATTATATTCTCAAATGTGGATACATGTATCCTAATAAAAAACAACAAAATTTTTTTCGGAGCTTATTTACACTTTTTTTATGAGACTTTATTTCACTTTCCATTTTCTTTACTACATTTATTACAAAAAATTAAGTTAAAAAGCAAACATGCTCTGAAAACTAAAAATAAACTTACTTTCAAGTGACCATGTGAAAGAACGAAACTGAGATACCACAAGGGTCATGAATGAATGATCTATCGGTTTCATGAGAATATTTAAAACCTACTTAATTTTTAATATCTTCACTTTAAAACAAATATTTTTAGTGGAAAGTATGTGAAGTTAAATTTCTGTACGATAATTTAAAAATATATACGATTCTCCACTCTTTCGGCATCGAATGCGGTTATAATCTGGCAACAACATGGTTGAAGTTTCCATGGAAACCACAGCAGTGCAATCGCCAAGGCTCAGAAATAGCTTCGCCTGAGGGCAATTCTATGATTCATTTTCAATACGTGTGAAACCATTTAGTCCCTAATATCCGAGTTTATTTTATTATAAATCTTAAGGCAGCAAATATTTCTCCAAAGCTGCACAGTTAGAAAAATTAATTTTTGAGAGAAATATTTTTAATAAAAATGCGTCGTTAGCAAACTATTTTTTTAAGGGGGAGAGTAATGGAATAGGTTTTCACTTTTTATTTAATTCATGGAATAAAAATTTGATGCTCAAATATTCGATTTATTAATTAAAAAAGATAATTTTAAAAAAAAAATCTGGTGAGATTAAAGTGACCTATAACCTTTGTGATAACGTTGTTATTTCTCTTGCTTGCAATCTTATTTCTTTTGTTTGTTATTATCTTTCTTAGCAAGTCACTTTTTAAGTCTTAATTTTTATATTTGAATAAATAGTAAGTCTGAATGTAATATTTCTTCTATTTTTGTGCTTATTGTTCTGAAGAAATAAATCAGAAATCATAATTTGTACAATTAGTAATAATAAAATTTTTTGCATCATTTTTAATGTAACTTCATACGGTAAAATACAAAGTTTGAGCAAAATCGATCAAATAGTTTCTAAGAAATCAAATTTAAAATTTGATTTCTTAGGAACTATTCATGCCAATTTTGTATCTTGCAATGTAAAATTACATTACGATGTTAAAAAAATTTATATCCTTAAATTCAAAATTGTTTCAACAATTATTATATAAAAGAATAAAAATAATAAATATTTACTAAAAATTATTCTTTGCAGGATATTATCTTTGAATAAACGAATGTTATAAATTCAATAATATTTTAATTCGCTTAAAATTTTTTCAAAATATGGTGAAATACGCAAAATGTAAAATTGAAATTAAGGGATCCAAAGTTTGGATCACTCTCTTGACCAAATTATTGGAACCATATTTCCCAGATTGCCGCTGTATTTTGGGGATCATAAATACAAATTAACGAAGAAAAGGTATGTTTATTCAGGGAAAGTATGTTTTTGTGTATGATTTCATAACTTGAAATATCGGGGGCACTAATTAATTAGCATATTTTAGGTCACCCCCTCAAGCCATTAAGATTGAGTCAAAAAAATTGAAGATTCGATCATTTGATCAAAAGTTACTCAAAGTGGCTTCCTTTTTTTTTGCACACTATACTTGTTTGTTTAAAGCAAGCGGATATGAGGATATTTTTTTCTGTTGCCAACCATTTCTGTTTTAAAATAGCACAGTGTTTTATTTATTTAATTATTTATTAATTACTTAATAACGTACATTTGTGGGTTTGTGGGCTCAATAGAATGTAACAGCTTACAAATCCGGAACACATACATAGAAGAAGAGATAGCACGCACTAGAGGAAGACAGAATAAAGATACGTCAAGATTTATGGCGGGATCCGAACCCGGTACCTCAGCGTTTCAGAATGTTAATGCCCTTTAACCAAAATTATTGTTATTCTGGATTTTGCTGTTTAAAACTGAGCATTTTAAGACATAATTTATTTTAAAGTTTACAGAAAAAATTGGGCAAAAATATTTTAATTATCATTAAATTAATTATTAAGAATTACTTTTTACGTGAGATTATCTTCGTTTAACGAGTTTTAAAGATACATATATATTTTTTTTAATTTGTGGCATTATTTTTTTTAATTTTACAACCGTCGTTGAACAGCACACCCAATTTTGGGTTTACGACTACTAATGTTTAACTCCATAGCCTTGTAACTTTGAACCCAATCCAGAAGACAAGGAATCAAGTATATCAAGCGTTGGAAGAAATTTGCCTCCGTGGAGGACTTTTTGATGGAACCAATCCGCATTTGCTTTACATGGAGAAGAGAACCTCACACGGTTAGCCTGACGGCAAGGGGACTCTAACCCATGATCCGTCTACCACTGAGGATATTTTACGTTAACACTGTGGTCGGTGAATGATGCGAGCTCGTATCGACCAGTCATCACTGGAATTCGAACCAGGTTCACCTCATTGGAAGGTAACAGATTCCCTGAGCCATCATGGCTCTGTGGCATTAGTTAAAAATTTGTACGCAACTAGATAATAACATATTCTTGCTGAATAAATGAATACTTTTGACTCAACTAATTATGGTAATACACGTGGCACAGTAAAAGAAGCACTTATAACAAAAAATTCTTGCTTTATGAACCATATATCATGTACATAGAATACATTCAAAATGTGAGCTTTTATTTTTTAAACTGTTTTCAATGATAAACGTGCGTTGCCGTATGACATAGTTTAAAAAAAAATGCGAAAAGTGTGCTGTAACAGGCACGATAAATTTGCAAAGAGCCTTATTTACTTTTGCAAATACTTACAATTTTATTAATTGATTTTAATAGCCGTTTTAGAATACAATTTGGAATATTTAATACAGGTATAAAGTAATTTTTTCTTCTTAATAATGCCCTTCAGTTTTATATTTCTTATTGTTGAAAGTGTCTACTAAAGCTCATTTTATAGAGAAAAATCATATAATATTTCTAAAACCTTCAAGAAAAAATATATTTTAAACGGACATTAAATGACGATTAATTATTGAAATGATCCAAAACGAAGGTTCCGTTTAAGATAAATAAAATATAGTGAAAAATACATTATATCGTACGAATTTTCATTTTTAATTAGTTAAATGTGTTATCAGAGTACCTTATTTTTGTACAATTAAGACAAATAAAAATGAATATTTTAATAATTATACATAGTGGGGGAAGCTAGGGTATGTGGATCAATGATTGATGATAAATCAAGGAGTATATGTGTAAAACAAGATTGCACATTGCTTAGCATGTGCTTTTGATTTGAAATTGTACACTTTGAATGGAAAAAAAAAGTATAAATTGCAAAAATTATACAAAAGGATTAATGCATAAAGATAATACCACTTTTGGTTTTTACAAAATGATTTATTCACGAAAAATAGTCAGATGATATTTAACTTACTGATGTATGAAATATAAATTTTTTTTTAATCCTTATTACACGCCGATGCAGAGCTTTTAATAAGAAGATTATTTTCCTTAATAAGAATGCCGCAATTATTTTTAATTTGAAATATGCAACAATTATAAGGTTACTTCATTTTCAGTTCACAGAAATAATAACTTTTAGTTTTGAGGATAAATTGTTTTAATTGGATTGAATATAAAAGAGAATTTTCTAAATATAGGGTAATAAAATGGGTTAAGGAATTATCTTACAGAAGAAGCATTTTCTTCCTTTTAAAAGACAGATAGATAATTTTCTAGTTAAATAATGATGCAAATGTATGATAAAATATAAAAATGTGACTTTGGCGTAATTTTTTCCAAATTAAAATAAAGCGTGTGTTATTAAGACTATATCAATTTTTAAATGAAAAAAATTCGTAAATAAGTTCATAAATTCAAATAATCTATTTCAAATTATGTACTAGAGTCTAAATGGATTAAAATATTCATGATTATTCATGGCTCAATTAAATCTATGTATTTAATAAGATCATAAAATTCTTAAATTCGTTGTAATGTTATTCCTAACATCGATTGAAAATACATTTGTAATAATTTGAATAATTTATAAGATGTAAGACTATTTGATTTATGGGAAATAAAAGGAACTCAGATTGTGTTATTATTCAGCTGTTCAAGATGAGCTGGGTAAATAAGAAAAAGATCTGCCAAATCTGCTTTTAATATTTTAAAAGTTCTGAAAACCGGCTGTAAATATTTTGAATCAGTAATATTTAAACAGTACTTAAATTATATTAAGTACATAAACTTGGTACTTTAAATGACTCTAATCCAATAAAAGCTACACTTATCAAAACAAAATATGAAATGAATTCAAAGAATCGTTCATTCAAAAACGGTTTACAAATTCTAATTTTATAATAAGTAGTCGCTTATTTATACGAAACAATTAACAACAATTATCAATACGAAACAATTATCTATACGAAACAATTATATATATGAAACAATTAAGTTACTCACGTATCATGCAATAATCAATTCACAAATAAAAAAATCTTGACTCTTTAACTTAAAAAGTTTTGTTACTTAGAATTTTAGCGATAAAAATATTAAAACGTTTTAAGTTACGCATTATAATCCTTTTTCAACTAAATTTTTTTTTAATATTATGAGAAATATAATGATTTCGTGACATTCTCAATCATAAATTAAACCATGTTATCTCAAAGACACATGAATCCTGTTCGTTTATTATACATAAAAATTTATCAATCATAAAAATTGTACGAATTTCATTAACATTTATATAAAATATTGATTTTTATCACACATTCAATTTTGGTTTATAGAGATGAATTAAAAAAATCATCAAAACTGACTATCAAAACAAAACATTTGAAAATGTCAGAAGTAATTACCCTCCAAATATCGTAACAAGTAAATAATAAATTTAAATGCTCCCGTGTGTAGTTTTTTAATACAGATAAAATAATCAAATATATCGATACAATTTACATTGACAAAACATTATTGGAATCACAGTTAAAACCAGAAGCAAATCGAAAGAAAACTCATAAGTTAAAAACTTTTAGTTAGGGAATTTATTCATCCAAACAATAAAACATTTATATTTACTCACATAAATAACGTCTGTAAAAGTAAATATTGGTTAAAGTAAAGTATAGATTATTTATGTAAAAAAGAAGAAAAAACCTGTAGAAATAACATACTTGGAGAGTTGCGACATCTACAAGCATCACCACGAAAGATTATTCTATTTTTAGAATATAACTTGGCCTTCATGATATTATTTTGACAACAAAAATCATTGATTTAATATATAAAATTAAAATCCAATCTTTAGTAAATTCGAATAATATTTTTTTATTTATCAAAACAAGAAATGATCGTAAAATG